GCCCCAGCTGGTCGACACCTCTTTTAGCAGAAACAAAGGCTACATTAATGTATTAAATCGATGTTAATCCATGTGTGTGGTTGTGGAATTAACGGAGGTGACGCTGTGCGATTGCGTTGCCAGGCAACAGCTTGGGTTCATGTTAATTTACAAACTCTTCAACTAGAACCCTAGTTATATTTAAAAACATTTTACAAGGCCTCACAAAATACTTTAATGTAAATTAAAATTTAAATGTGAAGGAATGTGTGTATAACAAAATACATCCGTCATAAACAAAACCGGAAACAGACGTAGGCAAGGTCCTCAGCTCGGTGATTGGATGTTTTAGCCGCAATGCACGTTGGGATATGGTGTTTATGCGATGTGAAATCCGAAAACATTTAAAGAAATAAAAATAATACTTTATTACGAGTGTGCTTGCTTTTCTCTTTAAAAGTCATCACATAAATGCATTGTAATACACGGTTCGGCTGCATTAAATATTACACATCTGCCGTAGTTCTCTATTTATAGAGCCCTGATGAGAAGACTTCTGGACAAACTGGAAGAACTGCCGCCGAAACTGAATACGTGACGTGGATCATAAATATATCAACAATTAAACAACATCTTACATTTCTTTTCACACAATACGTCTCCTTGCAGTATCAACACTAATTCGGCTGACTTTTATATTTGATCCAATTGGTAGATAGGCTGTATTTACACCATAACGTTTTTTTTTAATGTTCAAAAAGCTCTTTATTTTTCTCATACTGCCTGTGCTGCAGCACCTCTTTTCACCCTCTGTCTGAAACCAGAGCCCAGTCTGCTCTGATTGGTTAGCTGGCCGGCTCTGTTGTGATTGGTCAACCTCTTGGAGATTTGTCGGGAATGTACACTGGCTGGAGTGCTAGCCGCTCATTTGGGATTTGAGCCTTTGCAGAACATTTACATACACAAAAACCTGGGCCTGTTTTAAAATAAGTGGATAGCCTGCATTTTTATAGCGCTTTTCCAGTTTTTAAGACTTGCTTGGCCATGCCATTGGGAGGATTAGGGGTTAGATATCTTGCCCAAGGATACATCAACATGTTGACTGCATGGGCTGGGATCGACCCTAAGTCATAGTTTAGGAATAAGTTGTCAAAATATACATTTGACCCAATTATGCGCTTTACACTTAAGCCAAACTACTGGAAACTTAAATCTTATCAACTGTGTTATCTCTCCAGGACTTGAGTTTAATATGGTGACAGTTTGGTATTTTATTCAGCTTCCCCAACAGACAAGAGGATGAGCACTGTCACGTTTGCTTGTTGTTGTTTTTTTTTCTCACGTGTATTATACTGATAAAGTCGTCTGTCACCTGAATGCCTCAATACAGACTCAGTCTGCAGAGTAATCACTGAGTACTTTGTTCTGACTTTTAGTTTAATGACTTTGTTTGGATGCAGAGGTTGTGTCTGTGAAAACTTTTATAGAGGCTTGGATGGAACACACACTGGAGCATCAACTCTGTACCTCTGGGAAAAAAGGAGCTAAATGTGCTAATTATGGAGCTTGTTAAGCCCCAAATATTTACGGGTAGATAATAGAGACTTCACATGAAATGTCCATTAGAGTAATCTATTATCTGGCTTTAATCGTTATGATGCACTACTTTCTACTTAGAAATGTGAATAAAATCCAAACTTTGCAGTGTATTTTAGTCGATTTTAGTCGCTATTAGAACATTGATTTAATGGCATTGAGAATAGGAAGGTAAAAGAGTCCTTATGAATAAAATAGTGTGACTTCCAAGAATGCAAATTTGCCATTCGTCTCTTGGTCAGTTGTCAGAAGTAGCAATTAATTTTAATTAAGCTCCCAGCAGGAGTGATTATTGTGATTGTGTGCTCTTGGATTGCAGAGGAATGGAAAATAGTGCTAAACAAACTAGCAAATTGCACACCTCCCAAGTGCCAGAGCAAACAGAATAGCACCCACTCCATGTCTGTGTGTATTCAGCTTGGCAATGTGGCCTCAATTAGCACGAGGTGTGAAACAGCGTGCTGAGGGAGATAAAGCGCCTGAAAGGTGCTTTGTGTTTTCTGAATGACACTGTAACTGCTTTCTGTCATTGATAACCTTCCGCATAGAGGTGGGAAATCAAGCCTCGGATGATTTATTTTTCGTTAAATGACTAAAGCAGTCTTTCTAAACATCTCAGGCCTTTGTTGTGTGCTCTTGCATGGAGGAAAGCGATTAAAATTCTTTCTGTTTCTACCTGAGCGTGCCTTCTCATGGTACCAGCGCTGAAGTCGCCTGCCAAGAGAGAAGTCTGCTTTCTCTCACTAAATGAGAAATCAGCAGGGAGGGCTACAATGACCTGCGCACGGCTCAAACAAGGAGATTCATTTTGAGCGCATATCCTTAAGTGCAAGGTTTAAAGGTCTTCTCAAGAACCAGACCCTGCAACAAAAAAAAAAGTTCATTACATCAGCCGCTTTATTAGCCAAAGGGAACTGTGTTTGTTTAACTCAGGAATAAAGAAAAACACCTCAATTAAGCAGGCGTCTGTCTCAAGTAGCCTGTCTTTTTAAGTAAGGGATATTTCACTATCAAAATGTTCCTGTGGTAAAACAGTAGGAAGGGATTAGAAGAAACAAAAACAACTCAGCGTTAAATGAGCCTGGCAATCCTGATGACACTTAATGAGAACCATATTTGGACTTGCAGCCACATTAGAAAATGAAATATTCCAGCCGTGTAATATTATTTAACAGGCCGGTTTTATTTTGAAAACCCTGAGAGTCATTTCGACTACCTGGCTTCCATCTTTATGGGTGTTTTGGTTTTAAACTTTGCGATATCTTGCGTTCTGAATGCTCTGAGGCTGACATTAGGTTTAATCTGCGCGTTTACTCTGCACCATCCCACAACTTGAATGCACTGGATTGATCTGTCAAGCGTTTTTTTAGGGGAACGATAGTTTATGATACGTGCTGGTCAGATGAAAAATATAAGGGTGACATTTTCCAGACTTTTCGCCATCATTTACCTTAAACTAAATGAGTCGCTCAAATGCTTGTGTGAATTAGCTCATTCAAAATGAAACAGAGATGCATTTATCTAAAGTGGATAGTTTATGGCTGATGTAGCTGCTGGCTAAGTTCTTCCATTAAATTATTTTTCAAAGAATGATTCTCTGAGCGTGAGTTTAGACAGGTTCGCAAATTGTGATACTTTCCATGGCTGCTGCTTAGTGAGCGTTGTTTATTTGGGCGCTAATTTGGCCCGCTTTATTGAGAGGCTCGCTGTGGCACCGTTACAGAAATATTGTCCCTCATGAGCTGGACATAAGCAGTAAATACCCTGCACAAAGTGGAGTCAACAGGCCATTTTGTCTCATATTAAGGCGGTTAATTGCAAGTATTCTGCATATAGTGTGCCGTGTTTGATTGTCTTGGGCCTTCTTTAAAAAATGTGAACATCGTGGAGCCCTCTACTTTTGGAAAAATTGTACAATTTATGAACAAATTGCAAAGTACCCCTTAACGTGCAGCATTTTCTTTATGATCCCTCCTAACTTCTGAGGCTTTAACAAAGTTACATAATCTTTACAGAATTATAATGTAGTTATTGCCACTATAACACATAGATTCTATATCAAGATGTTCCTCAATACCAAGACTCATTTTTTTACATCCTGGAAAATCTATGTACACAATATTCTATCTGCCTCATTTTGTATCTTTATAGACTTTGAAATCTCTACTAGAATCTTTTTATAAGATTTTGTAGTTTTGAACAATATTTGGCTGCGCAGCATTCATCCCAAAGACTGAAAGCTTATTTAATGCTTAAAGAATTATAAGATCTCTGGATGAATTAACTTATTGAGGATATATTTCTAACTTATTAAACAATAAATGTCTGAACAGGCATAGCCATTTTTGAGCTCTTCTAAAGTAAGTGTAATATACTGGAAGTGTATTTATTATAAAGTGATGTTTGGCCATAGGGACATAGGTCACCATAATGTCCAAATGAATATGGTACTAATAGTTTACATATTATTTTACTCTTTATTGCAACCTGCATTGAAAGACACATTTACATCAGATAGGCATCAAGTGGTTTAGTTGACCCATGCTTTTGATTAGGTCTGTGTTCGCCAGGTACAATTTGACTTTAAATACACCTGAAAGGTTCTCAGTTAAACCGGAAAAACTTGATATCGTTGCGTCATTAATTCTGTGCTGAAGCAGAACCATTGAACAACTGATTTTGAAGTGGTCAGAGAAATATTTTGATCCTTTTATTAAAGTAAAAGTAGGAACTAAATGCAGTGTAGCATTTTAATATATAAAGTAACATGAAATGGGATTTAAAATTCCTCAAAGTTGTACCTAAGAACTTTATAAATTAATGTTCCTGGTTATTTCAAAAAAGTTCAGAATGTTCTGGGAGGCTTCAGACTGCGCTGGGACCTTTGGGTGCTCTGCAGCTCCAGCAGAAGGATTCTCCAGATGAGAGACTTCAACAATCATTCCCACTGTGAGACTGATTTAAGGATGTCTGGAAAACCGACAGGGGGCGTCTCCTCTCCCTGCATACCCCCGCCCCCCCATCCACCACCACCACCACCACCCCCCTCAGTGCGGTGGAAGAAGGAGGTATTGGGGATCTCCTCCTAGACAACAAACCCACATTCAAAGAGGGGGCACGCGAGTTACGTCACGCTCCGTGAGGAGGATATAACGGAGGTGCACTCAGTGCTTTTCTGTAGAGGAGACAAGTGGAGCATCATGCCGCGCGCACGGATCATGAGGCGAGAATTCTGTCACGCACTTTGTCATAAAAAATAATTTTGGTTGAACATTTCTGAAACGGATTTTCATCATGGGAAACTGTGTTTTTTAAGGGACACTCGAGACGCAATTTTGGATACGGCTCACGCGTAATTGCGCACAAGAAAGTGTCCCATTAGCTTCTCCCAGTGCGCGTTGATCCCACCACTGGAGGTTTCTGCCATGGATCAGACTCAGCAGTGTGTAGCCATGTATCTTCTGGTGCTGTCCCTCGGACTGCTGATGGACAGGGGGACTTGTCAGCACTACTTACTTCTGCGCCCCATCCCGAGTGACAGTCTGCCGCTAGTGGAATTAAAAGAGGACCCGGACCCGGTGTTCGATCCCAGGGAGCGGGACCTTAACGAGACCGAGCTGAAGAGCGTGCTTGGGGACTTTGACAGCCGCTATTTGTCCGTTTTGCCGCCCGTGGACGACAAATACACCGGGAACGATGAGCTCGATGACTATGATTTCCAAAAGCCCGGTGGAGTACTGCCGAAAGAAATCAGAGCGCTGGATTTCGATGTGCAGTTCGGGAAGAAGCACAAGCCCAGTAAGAAACTGAAGCGGCGGCTGCAGCAGTGGCTGTGGGCGTACTCCTTCTGCCCGGTCCTGTACACGTGGACCGACCTGGGGAACAGGTTCTGGCCGCGGTTCGTGCGGGTGGGCAGCTGCCTCAGCAAAAGGTCGTGTTCGGTTCCGGAGGGCATGGTGTGTAAACCCGCGAACTCGACCCACCTGACGATACTGAGATGGAGATGCGTGCAGAGGAAAGGGGGGCTGAAATGCGCCTGGATACCGGTGCAGTACCCGATCATCACAGACTGCAAATGCTCCTGTTCCAGTTAATACACAAAGACTCTGAATTATAAATTATAAGCTCATTATTTTTGTGATTCTTTTTTCACGTGCACTACCGAGTGTAGGAATGTATTTTCTGTATATGCGGTGCCATGCAGTTATATATAGCTCCCTGTACAAAGTCAGTATTATTTGTAACCAGAGCCTACTTTATTTGTGGAGAATAATGGTTATATATTTTGTATTTATGGAGATATGGCGCATAGAGCCACGTGCTGTTTTTCCATATTTGGATGAAGCAGATCGACCTCAGAGTTTAACGTGGATTATTGATACAGCCGGGTATCGGTGACTTGTTTTATCCTGTAAATTAAGGAAATGTGCTATTTATTCTTTATATTCGTACAATAAAACGACACTGAAATGACTTTAAAATTATTTTATTCTGTCTCTTCTTTCTGTCAATTCCAACCATCCTGAATGAGTGGACACCTTTAAGTCACCTGCCACATTGTGCACAATGTAAAGTTCTCACACTAACACCATTTTACGCATCACCTACTTTTTTCAATCATGCACTTATATTCTGACCCACGGTATACTTTACTTTGTTTCAATGAATGTATGTGGCACCACCAGTAATAGAAAAAAGGTTTCTTGTAGATATTGGATTTATAATGCAATATCAATGTTTGATTTCTTCACCACATGTGGTCACTAGTTCTCTTCTGGTTAACCAACACTATCTAATCACTATAAAAGCGTCAGTCATACATCAGAGCCATTACATGCTGATAAAGGCAGGGGCAGGGATTCAGTGATTGAAGGAATCAGCAGCTGCTAACAGCTCTCATTCTTTCATCTGCACAACCCCTCCTCTCTATTTGAAGCCCAGCAGGAGCCCAGCTGAAGAAAAAAAGCTTATACTCCAGCAAGGAGCGTTTTACTGAATATCTTCCACCATTGAAATATAATAGATTACAGGTTATTTTCTTTCATATAAATCAATCATGGAGAAACGGTCTACAGCGCTATTCAAATACAGATTAACACCCCGGGGTCTTTGTAGGAAAACTGCAGTTAAATACACCTAGAGAAATTCAAAGGTAATTGATTAAAGGATGGATCGGTGGTACATGAAAGTGACATTGAGAAACACATTAAAACAATGAGCACTTAGCAGCAAAAAAGTAAAATAAAATAGTGACAAAAAAGCAAGAACTCCATAAAACAGATTAAAAGTATGCTCATAAAATGTGATAGAGGTGGAGCTTAACTACTTTATATACTGTTTTAGATCCTACAGTGCATCCTGTTTTATTAAGTAGCATGTGTTATTAGTGTTCAAATAGATGAAGTAAAATATAATTCAGTAACTATAGCTGTTAGATAGTAAGAAGTGCAGTATTTTCTGAAATAAAGAAGGTACAACGTTTTGCGTTTAAACCATTAATAATAGTTATTGTGTACTTTAACAGTGTGTCTCTGCTACTTTTGCTGAAGTCAGAGATCTAAATATTTCTTCCACCACTGTGTAATCTGTGATTGCTTCATATTTGGCAGGCGTGCACCTTCCTTCTCATTTTACTACCACCATAACTACTACTGACTACTGGATCTGATGATGCCAGTTAATCTCTTGCACTCTCAAACTCTACTTTCTTTTTACATTTAGAAGAAAACAAAAAAACATCATTAACAGCTTCACAGCCACATCAAAAGGAAATATTGCAAATGTTCCCATAATCTAAAGCCCTGTGTGTTTGAACCATGAGTTTATAAAGATGGAGCCACTGGTTGGTCATGTAGAATATGAGAAGTAAAAAGAATATTTTTCAATAAATAAGTTGCGTTAAGCTTCTGATTTTTGCGTAGCAGCTTCCCCCTCACACTGCCTAAACACAGCCCCCCCTCCCTCTGTTCTGCCACTGCTCAGTGGGGTAGACTGTGGGGCACCAGAAAGCCTGTGTTTTGTTTCACTTGTGTTTAGCCCCGTAATGATGCTCCTTAGCCTCAGAGCCCTCTGCACGTACACATGCGACAGACAAATCCCCTGTACTTGTCACCGGATAGCGGCGTAAGGGCGATGATCTCCACTATACAGCTTAAACTAACAATAATAAATAGCCTTTCATGTAAGAGTGTGTGTGTTGGATCCGCATTGTTTGACAGTGATCCTCTTGTCTTTTCTGTTTGTCCTGCTGCACAAAGCTCATGATGGTCAGGCTTTGCAGTTGACAAGCTGTGTGGATATCCACCTATTTCAGGTTTATGTGTCATAGTCAGGAGGGCGTTAAGGGATTAAAGGCTAGGCTGTTAACAGCTGCCCCTAAAAACACACATCATATAAACTTTCCCACCACTTTCTATTATATTTCAACCTTATTCTGTCTGTTATGTTGGTCTTCTGCCTAATCTATTACCATTCCCCTGTCACCTCACTGATAATATTTCAATATTTATTATTTTTCCAACCACATGGTAAAGATGCTGCCTTTCTAAAACCTCTGAGAAACTAAAGTTATTCCTCTTCAAATATTCTATCCTTCTCGCCATTGGTGCTGACACTGGTCAAACGATTGGGATGTTTATTCCATGAAAATGACGCATTTCAAATAAAACTGTTAAAAGTTGAGCAACTGAAAGGATAAGATGGAAATTAAGTTTTCCACTCTGTTATTGTATTATCAGATTACAAATACACACATGCATAGGACCTATGGAGATTAGGTCTGATTACAGATATGCACAAACACATGCATTCTTATAGAGAGGTGCCAGAGCGAAGAGGCTGCCAGGTTGTCCGGCACCAGGGAGCAGTTGGGGGTTTCGTGCCTTGCTCAAGGACACCACCGAGGTGGAGCTACTAGTCCACACTCCAAAATGTTGTTCTGATCAGGATTTGAACCGGCAACCCTTCAGTTCCCAAGCCAAGTCCCTACAGACTGAGCAACTGACGCCCCAAAAAGGATGAGCTGTAATGCTCTGAATAGATATTCACTAATATATTTTGACCACAACCCTATAACAAAAAGGTACACAAAGTGAAGAAAGCTACAGAAAAATCTTTGGACATTAGACATACTTTCTTGCTATCTATTATATTTCAACCTGTTTTGTCTTTAGTGTCCTGCTGAGTGTATTTCCATGTCCCTGTCATCTCACTGTACATTTTTCTTTTTTTTACAACCAAATAGTAATTTCTATCCATCTCTCCCTCAGGTTTCCTGCTGTAAGCGCAGGCAAAGTGCTGACGCCGGTCAGATGATTTGTGTGTGTAGTAATACGTGTTGACAGAGCGCTTGGTGCCTGCTAATACCAGCTGCAGACTGCAGGATGCAGGGCTGCTAATGCCCTTCGTCACTCCTGAGCCGCTCTCAGCTCTCAGCGTCGCCCGCTCAGCGTGGCGCTCGGCGAGGCTCGGCTGTCCGCACATCCCTGTAGCTCAGATGCACAGCAATGTAATGCTTTTAGCCGCCAGTAATCCATTTACTTAATGATCTCTCTGGGAATGGGCTCATTTTATTGCTCCTCTACTCCCTCCCTCCGCAGCCTAATCAACTTTCTTTTTTTCTTTGGAGATATTCTGAAGCCAAAACCTTGTTGCTGATTAAATTCTCCTACAGGGCTCAGATATTTTCCTGATCAAAGCAAACTTCTCCTTGTGAGCAAGGCCAACAATATCAAACATGAGTTGTTCATTTTTCATTACAGATGATACAATTAGTTTTAAAATAACTCAGTCTGGCTCGTTAATAGTCCAAAGGTAGCCTCTGTGGCACCTTCATCACGAATGCAAAAAGCACGCCAGCTAAGTTTGTAAAAGTCAGAGCTAAGGGGTTGTTTATTCCCCGAAAATGACAAATTTCAAATAATGCCGTTAAAAGCTGAGCACATGAAAGGATGTACTGTAACGATCAGGTCGGAACGAACTGAATACATGTTCACCACTGTACCACAACTCTATAATAAAATGATGAAAGCTAAACAAATACCTTTTGATCTTCACAACGCTGGCAGCCCAGAGAGAGATCTGACCGGACAGAGAAACACATTTCATGCAAGAGAAATCATTTGAACTTAAAAAGACATGACAAAATTCTACATTCAACACAAGATTAATTTTCAAAATGTATTTTTTTCAAGAACTTCATTTGGGATTACTAACAAATATTATGTATATCCACAGCTTTAAGTGGTAAATACAGCCCATAATACCTGCTTTAAACTTATTTATCCCACTTTTTAAAATGTTTTATATTGTAATTTAATAGTCTTTTATATGCATGGTTACTTTGGTTCATTAAACTGTGGATCGTTTCCAAAATATTCTTGCCTCAAATGAAGCACACATTTGAAAAGTTTGTATTCCTGCCTTTATATTTTTGAGATAAATGAATAGAGATACTGACCAAGCCTGCACAAAAAGAAGAATGTGTCACCCTCGTGACTCCTGGTAATGAAACCTTTTTTATTCGGTTTTCATTTAGAGAACTAAGATCTGTCATAAACCTTTCTGAGTGATGGTAACTTGCATTTCATTAGTATATGTCAGTGAAGACAAACCCTGCTTTAATGACCTGAGTGATTTGTCTGCCTACATCTGTCAATATGATCAAATATAAAGTAGCTGCTGTCCAGCTGTGGCTGCAGCAGAGGCCTCAGGGAAGCATCCCTGAATGAAGACAGGTGTTGTGGAACAGGGAACAGCTGTTATGTGGTTCACACACCTCAGATATAAACCTGACGCCTCATTTTTTCCTCCAATATTTTAGTTTATGATCAAATAGAAAGACCTTTATGTTAGTTTTCCTATACTTCCTATATATGAACTTCCTATATATGAACTTTTTGTGTGTGCCACTGGCAGTTGGTTTCAGTTAGGTCTTCTGTTGCTAGTAGCAACAAGCACAATTCCAATGGTAGTTTCGGTTTAACTGACATTTTTGTCAGATCTGTGACCAAGCACATACTGACAAGTATCTTTTTTTCTCTTCAAATTCCTTTTTGACCATTACCTGAAGCTATTGTTTTTAGTATGCCGTTTTGTGATTGTTGATTTCGTTTTTTTTGCAATCCTTATCCGCTGACTGAGCAAGCCATTCACTAGCATGTTTGAGGCTGCCTTTGCATGATTAGCGGTAAAGACGCTCTGTGCTGGCTTTGCCGTTGTTTTCGTATGGAGAGCGCGGAGCCATCCTACTAGGGGGAAGCTCTGCTTGAACTTGCCAAATAGCACAGCGTTTCAAATGATGTCAAATTGATTGCTGCTGACCTTTCATAGCCAACCAATGAGATAGATCAGCTGTATGAAAGGCTTCACGGTCTTCAAAGCAAGGCACTGCACTTTGCCTTGTGGTGAGAAAATACCAAATCTTCCACAATGAGTTGCCAATACAGCAGCCTAA